TACTTTCCCCAAACCATTGTTGCTAGTTACCTCCGAGTCCCGAAGCGAGGCAATAATTCCTGGGAACCAGAGAAGGCGGCGACCACGCCTTCCCGCTGCTCTAACAAGTTGCAAGAGGAGCAGCCGTGTCACATTTCTTCTTTCATACACACCAGCGATCCTAAAGATTAGCCCGCTCGGCCAGCGTAAAAAACTAAGCGAGCAAAACTGCACGAAAGGGTGAGGGCGGGAGCAGAGACAGGCGCACAGCACGAAAGGGAAATTTCTAGTTCCCAAATTAAAAAAAAAAGAAAGCGAGAACGGAAGCAAAGCGAGAAACGAGCCGAACTATTTATATACTAAATTAAGGGGGGGGGGGCTCTCACATACGCCGGCGGCAAGAAAGCTACTTTATACTTCAGTCTGTAAATAATGCTAACCAAAGAAGAAGAGGGGAGGGGGGATTTAGTAGTCTTTTGCCCGATTGTGGCCCCCCCAAAAAACCCCTTTGTTCAGACATCGGTTGTATCAGAAAGAATGGAAAATTTGCAACCAAACTCTGCCAAGGCAAAGTTTTTCAAAGCACCGTTGCAACCAAGCCCTCTGGGATCGAGCATCTAGGCACGGAGCTTAGTTGGGACCCGTGCTCCAATATCTCTCTCTCTCCTAGGCTAAACCCCAGCGGCGATGAAGATCCGAGCAATCCTCCTGGCGGGTTTTGTTCCCCCTTCCACACCCACCTGCTTAAAAGCTGATTTTGTTCTCCTTTTGGGAAACGCCAAAAGCCTAATTCCCCGACTTTTCTCAAACCGACTCGCCTCTGCCGAACAGCTTCATTTGGAGCGCGCTGGGCCGCGCAAAGGAGGCAAAGCCAAACCACAGGAAGAGCTAGAAGTTGAAGGGGGGGGGGAGCGAATGGCCTCAGCATCCCTGCCCAACCCCGCACTTTTCCACCCCAAAGATTAGCGGTGGGTAAGGATAAGCCCAGAGGCTTTGCCCTTCCCGCCCCCCTGGGGAAGAAAAAGCAGTCTGGATCGCTCGCTCCCTTTCCCCACGGCTCTTACCTTCACAGATCGGTCAGCGCTGGACTCCCCGCAGCCGCCACCAGCACCGCCACCGCCGCCGCCTCCGCCCTCGGCATGACCGGAGAGCTACTACAAGGAGGCGCCTCCCAGGCCCGACTCAACCCCGGGCTGCTGCTGCTGTTGCTTCTGCTGCTGCCGCCGCCTCCTCAGCCGCTGCCATCTTGTCCTGGCGGCTGTGAGGAAAGCGCCCCACCTCAGCCCGCTCAGCTCCCCGGGCCTCAGCCTCATCTTCCCGGGGAGGGATCCAGCCTGCCGCCGCCGCCGCAGCCACTTCCTTTGCTGCCGCCGCCCACTCCGGCGGCTGTTCTCTTCCTGCTTCTTTGACGGCGGGGCCTGCGGGAATGAGCGCAGCTGGCTCCTCCGTCGTAGCCCTGAGCCGCCCACTCCGCTCCCGGGGCTGCGAAGCCGAGGCAGCTTCCTCAACGCCGCTCCGACATGTCTCAGTTCCGTTTCCAGCCTGCGGGGTTCTCCTGGCGAGCGTAAGTGGCCCGCCCTTATCCGCAGCTGTAGCGCCCCCGGCTGGTTACCGGCCGCCGCCTCCTAACTGGATTTCGCCATTCGACGCCCCCCGCCTCCTTCTCAGGGTGAGCATGTTTAGCCCTCGCTTGTACGGTACGGCTCTGGCAGAAGAGCCCAATAAACGGGTGGTCAAGGGAATCGCCGTTCCCTTCAGAGCGCCGACACCGACCTTCAGGCGGGACAACCGAAGGGCCCCGCTGCCTTTAAAGGGGATTTAGGATGGCAGCCAAAAGCCAAGTCCACTTAATGGCTACGCGGATTTGCAAATACATCTCTGAAAGAACTCAACGCTGTTTACATTTCAATCCGCTTGTAATAAGTATCCGGCTTCTCATTTGCTTGAGAAACGTTTTTAATAATTAAAATTTAATAAACAGCATGTTTCGCAACTAGAATTTCCTCTCCTTTGCACCGGGAGTAACCACATGAAAATAAGCCCTATGTCTATTTCAGGCCATGATGACCAGCTGACCAAAAGTATTGGATAATGATGATCCAAAACAAGTACAATGATGTTCTGTTCTTTTCATAAGTTGTATGTGCATAATATGTCAAACTAAAAAAACTAGCTCCCCCCCCCAAAAAAAAGAAAGTTACTTTCCTGTACAACACTTATTTTTTGTAGACTTTGCCTCTCACAGACCATAGCTAAATTAGATGTTTACCTCTTCAGTGCTTCCATTAATAATAATTATGGGGGGGGAAAGAATCACACATTGGGCAGAAACAAAAAGCATGATTTAATAGCTACCATTTTTATTTCTCCAGAAAGCTACCATCAGTAGTTGCCTAGATTATCACTTGATCCTAGATTTGAACTGGAGACTCATCACCCTGTTTGTTATTAATTTCTCATAAGCCTATGTTACATGCAGATTTATCTGTATGAAATATAGATGCAAAAGATGGTCAATGACATACAGCTCTAAGGGCCTCTTCCCAGGGATAGGGTAGCAACAAAGGACTCAGATTGTTAAGATTTGTTTTTTTACACAAATAATGAAAAAATTTTCTCAGAGATTATAACCATTTAATCTAAACATGAGCCTTAAGAATATAGTGTAGACCTCCCTAGAAGCAGCCTTTTAATTTTATGTACTTGAACTCTGTTTTTATCATGAAGCCATACAAGCTAGGAGGGTCATAGTTGCTACATATAATTGATACAAATAAAACCTCTCTCATACCTCCTACTTGACAATAGATCTTGGGGGGGTGGGGAATTAAGCCCCTCCTAATAGCAAAACACACACACTGCCAAAGAAGCTTGGTAACAACTGAAAATATAAGGAAAAGCAAATAGATTTAGCTATTTTCTGGAGATCAGTTGTACCACCTTTGAACACTGTGCTGCCTACTAATGAATGACACTTTCCAGCAGCCTTTTAGGAGGCCTATTTACCTAAGCTATGTATGAGTTAAAGGATGAGGGCATGGGCAATTTGGTATAAGCCAAATTAATCAACTTTAACTGGGGGAATATCACAAGAGGGCATAACATACTTTTGTATTTGTTCAAAAATCATGCTGTTTGTTGGGCCCAAGTGCTGACTCACTGCTTGTTTACATTGACGAGTCAATTGAAATCCCTAAATATTGGTTTAAGGCCATTATTATTTCCATCTACAAATAACATAAATATCTCCCAGCAAATGATCAACTACTAAGCTCCTAATTATAATTGACAACATCTATGCCAAAAATGTACTTTGACAATGTAAAATTGGCCGGGAACAACATTTATCAGACAAATGGGCTGACTTCATATCAGGGGCCTGGTTTTGTATATCCTGATGGAAGTGTGTGCCTAGTCCCAAAAATTTCTAATTGCAGTATTTGTAAACTTTAAATAGACTTTTGACTCCAGTTCCTGGGAAATACTATGTCAGAAGTTAAAGGTCGCCTTGATTAATCAATGCTTGTTCACTTTCACAATTTTATGTAAATGCCAGTCTGAAAATGAAATGTAGTAAGCATGATATTTTATTCAGTGTAACAGGATTTTTAATGAGGACCATTGTTAACTTTTTAGAAAACTGAAACTATAAACTTTGCAACCCCCGCTCCAAAAAAACCCCTCAAGAAATGTTCTTAGAATATCAAAGGACTCGCCACCCAGTCTAAATTCATAAGGTAATTGTCTGTGGCAGTCTGATTGTCCTAACCTTGGTATTTTGCACTGAAGCTTTTGAAAACAAAGTGAAGACTAGAGCCTGATTATTATCTTTTACTATTAAGTACAATAGGCTTCCAGTCACAAGATTTGGCTCTTCAATTGAACAATTGGACAATCTTCTTAGGTAAAGAACATCAAAATTAAACTATTAGTATGGATTCTCTTCTCCATTATTATTAGCTTTTAGTTACCAGGCCAGAGTTCAGATCAAGGATGATAAACATGGAGCACCAAACTGAATGCAACAGCTTCTTTACTCTTATTTCACCAGGAATATTAACAAATGCTTTAAAAACCACCAAGTTCTGTATTTAGATCAACTTCAGATCTCCAAATTCTACAAATCTTTATGCTCTCATTTTGATGTTTTATCCTTAGCCATCCTAGAAGGCAGCCTTATAAACTAAAGTCCTGCCCTCTCTAGAGCTGAAGTAATGGAACTTTGGTCCTTATCCTCATATATGGCCTTTTTTATATCTAAGACAAATTGATACAGCTTCATAGTCCAATATCCATGGATAGACTAATTCATTCTAGGTTCAAGATTGCATCAGCAAATGTAGCCACATTTCAAGTAGTGGCCTGAAAAATATGGCATCAATTAAGAATCATCTCACTTCCTTCCACTTATAGGAGAATTCAATTGTATAATAAGGAGCAAAGTGCTTTTCTTAGATAACAGTGTAGGAGTGGTCAGTTGTCTTTACGCTACATTGAACAGCCACAGATAATTACTACAGATTCTGCTAATAAGAATAAAGACTCTAATTGCCAACATATTAATCACTATATCAACCACTATACTTATTATCAAATAAAATATTGCATTTCATCCAGTTTGAGGATTCCTATGCATTAAAAAGGCATAATAATTCATATTACACATTTCTGTTTCAAGCTTCTAGATTTAATAGATGAATACCAATCAAACTCTTATAACTAAGAAACTACAAAATAGGTATGCAAGAGAGCCTTTAAAAATTGCATTTGGATTGATTCTGCTGAAGTCAGGTTAAGAAAATAACATACAAAGTTTTCCTGCATGAAATAAAAAACCTTATAGTCCAGTATTCTTTTCTTTTTGTTGTGGCTAACATAGTACCCTAACTCCCATCATTAATGTTCATCAGTCAAATGCAAATATTATAATTTACAAAACAATTCACACATCCATTTTGTCAGTCACTTCTATTATTACCTTTATTGTCAGAGCACAATATGTGTACAATGAGATTGGCTTCTTACTTTACCAAATTTGGAACACACAATCCATTTCTGTGTTGAAATTCCTCTAAGTTATATTGCTTATTACCAGGGGTGGAATTCTACCGGTTCGGCCAATTCTATAGAATCGGTAGCTCCGAAGAGCAGCTGACACCGAACCGATTCGCTGTGACGATCGTCTGGTCATCTGTTTCGCCCGCCCGCCCGGGCTCTAGGCTATCTTTTAGTCTCTGCATTTTCCTCCTCAGCTGCTTTGAGCGGCACAGGTAAGTGCCGCTTGTCAACTGGAGCAGGTGAATGCTTGCCGGACTCAGTAATTTGTAAGTAGTGTGCATGCGCGCATTTGGCACGCACACACACAAAGCGAACCGGTTGTTATGCTGGTAGAATCCCATCCCTGCTTAATGACAGTCATGTTTGCATGCATATTGCCTCATATTTTCTGTTTTAAAACCTCCCCTTCTATGCTATTGTATAATACCCACTGATGGGATTTTAAAATAAACAGTTACTTCTCTACTCTTTCAATGGCTTCTTACAAATTAAGAGACTGTAAGCTACGTTAGTTATAATAATGACACAAAAATATGTGACATCTTTCCTTCTAGAAGTATGCAAAGACAATTTGCTAATCATGCTGTCTATTCTAGAATAGCAGATTTGCTAAGCTCTTAAGGGGCCCCAAGTGGAGAAAGTATAAAACAGAAAAGGTAGATCACCTTTAAGCATACCAGAAAGGATTGTGCCAACTGCACTCCTTTAAATTGTACAGTACTCCAGAAGCATGAATCCTTTTTGGAGGGAAGAGTCCATTAACTGCTGTTGAAAGCAGGGCGTTGCACTAACCTGCTTCTGTTATCCAAAACCACTTCCTAGGACAGCTATATCTTCTTAAAAAGCATGCATACATTTTTATTCCATGGACCTTAATCTTGCCAAGCTGTTGCCCAGAGAGAGAGAGAGATATTCCAGTAAACAAGTTAACCACTATACAAATTCACATCAACTCAGACAGTTCTGAAAAACAAAAACAGTTTTAAGCTGTAAAGATCCCTTTGTTGTCCGCATTCAGTTAAAACTACATACGTAACCAGTTTTCTACATGATTATTATACCTTACTTTCTCAAGAAAGCTAATGAGTAACCAAGTTCATGTTTGTACATTTATAGGCTGGCAGGAAGCTTGGTAAATATTCACTAAGTCAGAAAATAGCTCCAGAGGTATGTTTTTCATCCATTAGAACTGAAAATAAGTCACTGGGAACAATTTGTTTCTTTATTTTTAAAACAAAAACAATGGGAAAAAACAAACAGTCGTAATATAACATCTATTGCTTCACAAGAAATTTCAAACTTCTTGAATTAACTTTTTAAAAATTTATTTATTTTCAGAGAGGAAAATAAAAGTTGAGTGGATACCATACCCTAGTCTAGTGCTTACACTATTGGTATTATTATAGCCAGGCCTCTGTAATGTAAGCCAGCCAGCACTTACAAATACCATTGTTAATGACTCCTTTTTGAGAGGGTAAAACTGACAAATTAATAATGAAATTATAAAACATCACTCCCCATTTATGCTCAATATATAAATCAATAAATAAAACTCAGACGGAAGGATTTCTTGATCCCTTGGGAAAGGAGAAAAGAATCAAGTGTTTTCCAGCAATTCATATCTTCGTTATTACACTCATCTTTAGCAGGTAGGAGCAGAAACAGACAACTGTTCAGTGTTCACATAGCGGAAATATAATGTATCAACCTTAAATTTAACAATAAAACTTAGCTAGAACTTATATAGAACTCTAATCCATTGCTGAAATACTGAATAAATAATGATGTAACTTAAAATAAGTTGAAGGCTTGCCTCATAGAATGATTCCCATAACACATTAAATTGCTTTAAAAAAAAAACAAGTCACAAGAATAATTTTGGAATAAAAACAGAAATGCAGTCTGCTAAATAATACTGACTTATGACGCAAAGTGAATAACTATTACCAAAAAGGACCTTTACAAAAAGGACCCTAACTCACCACTACAGACTTTGAGAGAATAACAAGCATTGCTAGGCAGAAGTGCTAGTTTGCTTAAAGAACTAGCATAACACAATTCATTAGCACAATACAAATGTGCAATTTACAGATCTCTAGTATAGATGTGTCACTAATTTCACAATGTCAGAATAAGTTATTAGTCCTTTCAGAAGAAAGCATTGGTAATCTGTGTGTGGTAAAGCAGAGTTAGAAGAGCAGTGAATTAAGTAGGGCCACTGTTGTTTTTCACAGGGAAAGTTCTTTAATCTTGACTCTGGTATAATGGGGCCATAATTATAGAAGTAAATAAATTAATAGCCAACTGCAAACAGGAAATTAGTGAAGCTTAAAGGCTATTATTTCCCACTTAGACGCCCTCCAAAGTGTTAATTGTCGGTGCAGAAAGTATGACAGTCAAGATGGAAAAGTGTGGAAACAGCAATTAATATGTGAAAATGAAGAAACGGCTTTTTGCTCTCCTCCTGTATTTTACCCTTGAACATTCTATAATAAGAACACAAAACACCTGATCTAACAGGCTGCCGGTCTTTGTTTTGCATTTTAATTTTTTATCCTATCAAAATTCAGACTCTAACCACTGTATCTAGTAATCTGATATGGCAAGAACAGATGGAAGATTCTTCTCAATCTATAAAGTATCTCACATTTGTAGTCTCCTGACTTTTCCCCTTCTCTCCCCACCTGCTTATCTTTTTCAAGTCTCAGTATATAGACTGGAGTTTACTGAATAAAGAAAAGTGAAAAAATATCTGCCTTTTTTAGTGTACAGTTGATAGAATGCCTCACTGTATTCAGTAGGACGTACTTCCAGATAAATATACAAAGTATTGTAGATATACTACGATACAGTCCTGCATACTGTATGTTCACCAATATAAGTACATTTCAATAAATAAAGCTTACTTCGTAGTAAATGTATTAAGAACTGCACTCTTAATCTTATCTGTGTTGTTTGTTACATGGATGAATAAACCAAGGTTTGTTTATGGTGAGCCATCAAGTCATTTTCGACTCCTAGCAACCACATAGATTTTCTCCATGACAACCTATCCCGAAATTTTTCTTTCAAGTCTCCCAATGGCACACAAACCTGCTTCTTTAAAGTTTAACTTTTTCTTCTATAGAGTGCCACGAGGAGTATCATAGCTTCCATAATTCTGATCTTTGTAAGTATGGAGACATCATAGCATCTGATGTCTCTTCTAAGGCCTCCAGGGCTGCTCTACCAAGTACTAGTCTGTGATGTGTTTCTTGATTGTTTGATCCTTTTAGTTGATCCTAAAAGGCAGAAACTATTAACTTTTCTATTTTCATTGTCAGTGCTAGGGCTGGTTGTTCTACCTATTGTCATTAGTTTGGTCTTCCTTCTATTTAATTTTAGTCCAATATTTTAACTGTGCTCTTTGACTTTTAGTATCAGGCTTTCAGATTATTTGCATTTTCAGTTATCAAAATAGTTAGCATACCACAGGTTATTGGTGTTTCTTCCTCCCGTTTCTTCCAATGCAGCTTTCCTTAATATGTATTCCACATGTACGCTGAATAAATAAGAGAGTACACAGCCTTGTCACATTCCTCTGCCAACCTGAAGCCAATTTTTTTGTTTGTTATAGAATTTATATGGCTGCCCACTCACTTTCATGACTATAGGTAGCTTACAAATAATAAAAAATGTATAAAGAGTAAAAACAGTTTGTTTCACCATGTTCTGTTCTATATGGTAAGAACTCTAATTCATAATACACCTAATCATTATTTGTACTGTAGAAGTTTAACAGTGGTCCAAAGAGAGAGAAGAAGCCAGGGGATTGCCTGTGTCATAGGAGGACACATCGGTGCAGTACATGGGAGAGCAGGAAACATGAGCTCTTCTAATTCAGGCAACACGACACCCTGCCTTGTTGCTGAATTGACACAAACTTGAGTTAGTGGATGGCAATGTTGTCTCTGTCCTATGACCAGACCTGAATCCAGAAGGTACAAATAAAAAAGTCCACATAAATAGAGCCCTGGTGGCAGAATGGTTAAGTGCACTATTGCAGGCAAATTCTGCCCATAGCCTGAAGTTCGATCCTGATGAGACTCAAGGTTGACTCAGCCTTACATCCTTCCAAGGTTGGTAAAATGAGGACCCAGATTAATGGGGGAAATATGCAAATAATACTTCTATATTATAAGCCACACAGGAAGTGCTGAAAAACACTGCAGGGTAGTATGTAAGCCTAAATGTTGCTATAATCTGCTTCCTCTAGGTATTTGCATCTGAAACTCTACTTTATGCCTTAACACCCCTTCCCACAAAGAAAGATTGAAACTGAACAATAGTTATCAAAAAGGGCTGTATCTAGAGCAAGGCTGTCAAACTGGCGGCCCACAGGCCAGATGCATCATGCTCAGGCCACGCCTACTCCAGCTCCGCAAAGGAGAAAAACGTTGTGATGTCGTGTGATGGCAATGTGACGCCGTGAGTTTGATACCTGTGATCTAGAGCCTCTTGCAGAAGTAGCCTGCAAAACTGCCAGCATCCCACAAACCAAGTGAACACCTTCTAGGTTCAATTGATCACACATACCTCAACCACAAAAAAATCAAGAGAGGTTTAAATCAAGCCCACAAATGGCAGAAGTCTTGAGACAGAGTAGCACCCTTATTTCCTTAAAACATAGTAGCTGAAAGGAGTTGCAGTTAACACAACTAGACTTTGCCCTAATCACCACATCAGAATCTTCCTAGGAAGAGCCAAGACCTTCTCAAACCTGAATGGCCTGACCAGCCCAATGCAAAATGGACACAGTAATGACAGTTCACTGATGCAATAAGGGAGAAGTACTGACACATTGCCTCCCTTATTGCTACAAGGTCAACTCAAACATGAGCTTGTACTTGTAGGCAATCCAAAGACATCTGCAGATTCCAAGATCTTCGATGCAGTACTGAAATGTAAACTGTGATGTACTGATGGAAATTATACATAATACGTACTTGTGAGTGATATCACAATACATCTACAAAAGGAACAAGTATTATCGCAGTGTCATGATGCATTTTTTTCCTATCTTCTTTGCCTCTTTCTCCCACACCAGCCCGGACACCTCTGATTTGAAAAAGTTCCTCCCCCCCCCCCCCCCCCCCCCCCCCCCCCCCCTCATTTAAACACCCCCCCCCCCCCCCCCCCCGCCTTTACTTCTTCCACTAATGTTTTAGGTGTCACTTCTGCGTCTTCAATTCCTGTAGCTCTTCACTAAAGTGACTAATGTGCATAAAGTGGCTGCTTCGGAGCAATCTTGTCAAAGTCTGGATCTCCTCCTTTTGTCAGAGGTTAAATATGCAATTTACAGAACTGGTGACAGACCACACTGACATATTTGGAATGACCTTGTGATCACTTAACACAGGGATACTATGACAGCCAGAGCTCCGAGGATTGGTCATAAATCCTCCTTGTTTAGAGCCATTGTAATTTTGAAGATTGCTGAATCAGTTATTATAATCTGAGGACTGCCTCTAACAAGTTTGGGATAATAAGTCTGTTTAAAACTATAGTTAATATGCAGCCCAATTATGTATGTCTATTTAGAAGTAAATGTTATTATGCTCGTGGTCTCAAATAAGTATGCATAGCATGTTTTAATCATGATTTTAGAAACAAGGTAATTACTCAGTAAATACCTCAAAGAAAAACATTGCTATTTATAAGCATGATAAATACCTTGTTGTAGTTTTTACTCTGAGTACTAAGTACTTTTAAACAAAATATTATGAAATAATCCCCATTTTATGAATTTGATTACATTCACTAGTAATTATGCCTGTATTATAAACCTAAATTATCTAAATATTATTATATGGGTATACAAAACAGCAGATTAATATTTTTCAGAAAATAAAAAATACTACCTCCATTGTTACGAGTGATCTTATTAGAATAGCAGTACATTAGTAGAATGGTAGACAAGTACTTGATAATTTGTATGCAGTCTTCTGTTGAATATCAGAGATTTTGATACACATTTTAGCTAATTTAAATGTGTAAATTATATTTGTATATAAGTGTGTGTACAGTCTATTATAATGGTTTTTAAAATAAAAATATTCATATAATTAATTGGAGATAAGAGTTATTTTATTTAACCTTAATACAGTAATTATTAAAATATTTGTAATTTCAAAAAGTATCATGATCAAAAATTCTAAGTAATTGTCCTTATTGTAATTATTATGCTTATTTTGGAAGAGTTGCACTTTTCAGAAGTATTTTATCATTATTGAAAATCTGGGGTCAAGTCAAATTGAGCATCAAAGCAAACAGTGTTAAAATGCAAATTTTCACTTAATATCCAGACTTTTTTTTTAAAGGTTGGACTTTTAAAACATCAGTTGAACTTTAAAAATAAATTACCAGAAGTGAAATACAGCATATTATAACTAATTGGAAGATGATTCAGTATTGTGGCACATATAAAAATTGCTTTTTTGATCCAATTATTTGTTCCTTAACAAAGGGCATTACTTAGCCAACCTTGACTGATCTGGGAAAATGAATCAGAGTGTGACGTGGTTAGCACTTAAATATGAGACCAATAGGAGGCCTTGGTTGTAGCATAGACTGATTATTATTCAAAGCAGCACAGAATGTTCTTACAAAATAATAAGAAAACCATTTTAAATAAAATTACCAATACTCCTAAAGGCCACTAAAATGCAAATATGATATTTAAATATGATTTATTTTATCTCTGTTAAATAGATATTTTGTTTTGAAATATTCATAGTAATATTTATCTTTTTATTGCATTACTAAAAACATAGTAACATAAAATGGTCCCGCTGCTTACAAAAAAGTCCATGCATTTTCACCAATAGAAATTGATGTTCATCAATTTCAAGATCTTACTTATGGTTATAAATATTCCTAAATTACTTTTTTAACTTAGTTTTATTATTTTGATAACGCTAAGTATAAACATAAATTAATTTCTGAATCTGAACCTCCTGCTGCTATTCTGCCTGGCCCCAAGACTGTAACACCTAGAAGTACACTTAGATCCACTGGCATGAGAGGCATATAAAATATTGGGATCAAAGCCAACAATCCAAACAAGTTCTGATAGAATTTTAATTTATCTACCACAAGATCCTAAAATCATGGCATCTGAGTACCAAGTTCTAGAAAATTTGGAAATTATGTAGAGAATATGTCTAATGCAATGCATCTTGCAAAGTCTCCTCCCTGCTATTGCACAGGAAAAAATATTTTGCACTTTATTGCAGATTTATGCAATACAAATATTTTGTAAGTAAGGTCTGAAATGGAGGAAGAGAATGAAAAGCAGAGCAGCCTGGGCAGAAATAAACACATTCTGAGAACATGTCCTGGCTACGCAGGCCTTTATCAGAAGATTAATATTCTAACAATAGAATTTAGTGCTTAAGTATCATGTGGTTTTCATCATGGCCAACAATGTTATAATGTCAGACATAACAAAAATTGTTTTTGTTTCCAAAGGTATTTTAATCTAAACTAAGTCTACATTGTTGTCATTTCTTTTGGAATCATTGATATAGAATGAGAAACAAAAAAATGAATATTAAACAGAGATGGTTTGAAACTGATGTCTGTATAAATGTGAGTGTGTGTGTGTAGGGAGAATGGAAAAACAAAGTTTGACTGATTTCATAACCCTCTTAATATTTCAGGCTGTGTATTTTAAATGTTAGAATGACAGTAATTTTCTCTCATAGCAAAATTTTCCATAACATGAGCTACCACAGAAAGAATGTGACCCTTCGGAAACAACTGTTTTCACTATACAACTGTGCCACAGTTTAAAAAAAGATGGCAACAAGAAGTAACCACCCAGACCAAATTAGGGAACTCAACTGAGAAATAAATGTATTAAGTATGCTTTTAAATGAATTTTCTCCAAACAGTTCCCAAGAGAAAGGGTATGGCTAGATCTTAGTTTGACAATTAAACAAGGGATTGCATTCCACTAATATTTTATTGATTAAATTTTTCCAAGAAATCCAAGCATACTTCAATCCAGGAATGAGGAAATTCAAATGACCATTTTACATGTTTAGAGAACATATGTGAGAGTTATGATGTTACATTATATAACCTTGTCACTGATGCATGCTTTGGCTACTCACTCCCTCAGGGGCCATATAGAGGCAAAAGAAGCATCTCTGTCCAGATTTTGTCCTCATGCAGAAATTTTGTCAGCACGTGATCCTTCACAAAGGTATGAACTAAGTTTAGGACCAGTTCAATTGATCTATGTATTTTAAATGCATTATGCTGTCTATCAGATACTTGAAAATGCCGTGTTTTCACAACACAATTGCATCATAGGGAGGTAGGATTGATTAAGAATGATGAGACAACATCCAAATCTATCCAATTAATACAAAGATTTTTTTTTTACATTTAATCACAGATCCAGTCTTATTTGAACTAAATTGATTCTCCCCAGTCAATTATGATTGGCCCCTCCCATAAGCCTTTGAGATGAGCCTTTGCAGGAAGCAACTTTGTTCGTTCTGATTGGTTTAAACTCTGAAACTCCATGTTGACTTTGTGCTCCGTTTGGCCTTATACAGTTAATTGGCAATTTAGTCATTGGCAGCATTTCAAGGGAGATAAAGGTGGGTGCTTATCAGCCTTATCCCGAAAAGACTGTGGCAGACTTCTCTTGGACTATTCACAAATTGTTTGGGACTCATTATGGGCTGTGAATGAATATAATTCACAGCCGTTGAAATAAAAAGAGGGGTTTTGTGACCAAGCGTGTGATTGTTACTGTCTCAGGAAGCCTTGGTCAGAACACTTGATGTTAATAAATAGAGTTGTTTGTTACCTATCTCTTAGGTAAAGGAAAGCAAATAAAATTTGGTAATGACTGTAGAGTATTTTATTTATATATATATGCTTTTGATGTACATTTTAAACTGTTTTCTAAGCCTGTATTTATGACATAGCAAATCTAGTGATCGTTCCTTTCTGAGCATTTGATTCAAAATTGATTAACTGACAGATACATCTTTAATCCTTCCAGTCACTGAAAAGATAGTTGAAAAGCTGTCATTTTCCTGCCTAATATTGTGTCTGAAAGAGTGAAAATTCATAGTGGCATTATTTAGGTCAGCAAAACTATGGACATACATGGCTGAGGATGCTGAGCCATTCCCATCTGCTCCTGCTTCTTTACATCCTCTCATGTGGTCATAGTGGGGATATGAAAAAAGCAAAGATCAGAGTGCTTGGATGACATAAGAATAGTTAATTAATTGACTGGGGAGAATCAATTTAGTTCAAATAAGACCGGATCTGTGATTAAATGTCTGAACTGTTCTTGCCTTCTGGAAGGTCTACGCAAGCGTGCACTGGGAACAAGCTCCCCCTGTTCCTCTGCCTCACTGATGTCAGATTCTGCAGGCTCCAGAGTCAGCACATAACTCTCAGATGGCCCTGGTCCATCTCTGTATTGGATGCAGATCCCTCATCTGAGTCCTCCCCAGACTCCAGGACTAGCCCATGTTCCTCCCCACTGTCCGGCTCTGCTGCCAGTTCTGCAAGCCACCAGCGGACCACAACATCAAAGTTATATCGAGATCAAGGTCTTTTTTTTCAGTTAAAGCAAGAGATCCCTTGCTAAGATGGTGATGCTGGACTGACAGTATTAATGAATAATCCCCCTGCATAATTCACATTTTATTGTTTGCCATTATGAGAGGTTTAAAACATTAAGAATCGGTACCTGGACACTTACTTTGTTTTTCTTTTTTGTTTCTTTTTCCCATCCACTTTCCTTTCGGTTGCATTATTTGGATTGCAGGCCTGAAAGCAGAGATAGTCTAGTTTTTAATTTTCCATTAAAATGTCAAGAAATCGTCCAGGCTGAAAAACAGGGTATAAATGCTTATAAATGATAACTCTCTTCAATAGTAGAAATTGCTGCTTTTAATATCTTGAATCTAAGTATGTATGTCAAAGTGACACACATCTACACCCAGTTTGTAAATTCAGTTGCTGATCCATAAATAGTGTCCACATCTAGAAGCTTGGCTCAAGTATAGATAAGCTTTGCTGCTTTAAGAGGTGAACATTTATTTCAAATGCTTCTCATAGCAAGCAGAAAATAAATAGTTAAGAAAATACAAAAGATTTTTCCCATGAATGGGAAACAATTATAACAAAACCAAGATGAGCACTATTATAGCAGTTTCCATTAATATTTTACAGGAAAGTTAGTATATTAAATAAACTGAATTCCCATAGATATGTTTTGAGTTTCTTTGAGATACAGTTGAGAACTGACCATTTCCCACTTAAGTAAGCTGGAAATAAGACAGAGGGAGCATCAGAACTCAAGGGTAGTGTACATGCAGAAGGCCCCAGATTCAATTCCTAGCCACTCGACATAATTTTTTTTAAAAAAGATATAACCTTGCCTGAATCCTAGAAGACAATTAGCAACTAATAATGTATTTGGAATGTTTCTCAATCTTGGCAATTTGAAAAGGTGTGGACTTCAACCCCTAGAATTCCCCAAGCAGCAAAGCTTTTTTCTGGCTTATGATAATTTATACTTATAGTTTATAAGACTAGTTTTGCATAGTATATACTTTTGAACTCCCTTATACAGTCACACTGGAACAAATGAACCGAAGTCCATCCTATCTTCTTCTTCTTTTTGTTAGTTGCAAAGTTGTGTCCCACCCATCACGACCACATGGACAATGTTCCTCCAGGCCTTCCTGTCCTCTACCATCCTCTGGAGTCCATTTAAGCTCAAGCCTACTGCTTCAGTGACTCCATCCAGCCACCTCATTCTGTCATCCCCTTCTTCTTTTGCCCCCAATCATTCCCAGCATTAGGCTCTTCTCCAGTGAATCCTTCCTTGTCATTAGGTGGCCAAAGTATTTGAGTTTCATCTTCAGGATCTGGCCTTCTAAAGAGCAATCAGGGTTGATCTCCTCTAGGACTGACCGGTTTGATCGCCTTGCAATCTATCTTTGTGACACTAAATCATGATATTCACCTCAATCCTTGAATATCTGAAACTGTATTTATATAGAGGAATGCCATAGATTATAGTGCTCTTTTCCAAATTGACTTTCTATCCTCCTAAGCATACAATAACAGAATATGTCAATAAATCTCCTTCAATTTAAGGAACAAAAGGCTAAAAAGCAAGTTAGAAACTTGTCAATCATCACAAATATTTGTGACTTAAGCAAGAAACAATGCAAGGAAGAAGGAGAAGGAAAAGAAACATAGATTTGAATCACAGGAAGTTGAAAATGAAGTAATTGAGCATGAGAATTAAGAGAAAGTAAAGATTCCTGGCTAATGAGCCATCAAACGTACTATACATTCACATATTTAAGCAGCTGAGTGAGGAGAATTCAATGTGGTGATAAGAACAATGCCTATATCTTTCTCAAAAAGTCTGTCATATATGCAAATTATTATGTAATGTTTCCTTTAACTATTTAACATACAAAGAATATACTTACAAATGCGGTTACAGAATAGCTTGGCAAATCTGAAAAATGCATTGTTAGCTCTAGCTATAAATAATGCATATCAAATTTATTATATAGAAAAGATCTGTTAAATAGATTCTGCCTCTCTGTACCAGACAATCTGATACTATATATGTATATAGGTAGTCCTCATTTAGCAACCACAATTGGGACCTGCAACCTAAGTAAACTGGCCACTAAGTGAAACTGCTACTTTGCTTATAATCTTAGCTCAGATTTCCTTTGCTTTACAGTTCTGAGAAGTCATAAATGCAAGGATTGGTTGTAAATTTATTTTCTGTCATTATCATGGCTGCAAAAAAATCACTGAATGAGGTAGTTCCTAAATGAGGACTTCCTATAATGACACGGAGGAGCCCTCAGTTTTGAGGGATGCAGACTTCTGACAAATGAAGCAAATTATCATTGTAAATAAACAATGGAATGTAAGCTTCCTTTTGCATCCTAGGTTTGCATCCTATAATTCTAGTGTGTTGTATTTAGAAGCAAGCTTTTAAATATTTGTATGGATCTGCTGACTTTATTTTCAGGTTATAGTTAAATTACAGCTAAATAGATACTTTTTTTATCACAGCATCAGTGCATGTCATTGTGTTTACTTATGTCTTTATCAGCAACTGTCTGGCTTCCTCACCTTCCTCATTTTTTTTTCCCAGGCACCTGGGTCTGCTTCAAGACAAAGTACCAGCTTCTAACACATGTTTAATTACAAGACTACTTCTGGAAGTCCACAAATGTATGGGCTAGTTTCTGTAGCTTAGCTTTGCTAAGAAGGAAGGAAGGAAAATATGAAATAGTAAATAAGAAACTCAGTTTGTTATTTGATACACTAGTATTTTGTGACTGGTGTTGCTCAAGTTATTCTGAGAACCAGAAAGCCCCCCACCCCACATGACAGCCATTTTGAGGCAGCACCTGCAGTGCACCTCACTATTCCCCGTGTGGCCACTCAACCCAAAGGTTTACCTGTTCTTATTTCAGAGGTGATTAATTAGTTATTATTTCTTAAGTTTAAATGTTTATGAACCAGTAAAGAACTGTGAACATAGCAGTCCCTGTTCCATTTTTTTAAAACAAATACCACCCTGTAAAGTTCTAACAGAATGTATAGATGACTTTGGGGAAAGAGAGGAAGAGATGCTGCCTAGGAAACAATCAATGGCTTAAAGAAACTTAGGAAGGACTCACCCTCATGTTAAAAGTGGCAGCAGGAAGTTTGTGCCTTCAGACTTGCAAGATTCTGTTAAGGTAGACTTATAATAAAGTGGAATTAGTTCACCGCACCTATTTCTTGTCTTATTTACCTGGGAGGTCTGACAAAAGCAGAGTGGGCTGGAAGTGATAGCTTGGTTGAAAGGAGAACCAAACTGCAGTTTCCATTTCTCATCATCCAACATCAAATAATATGTCACATGGATAAATGCTAGGCATTTTACCTAGTTCCTTTACAAGAATATATTGAAACAGTATTTTCTGCAAGGGAACAAATTCAAATATTTCTTATTTTAATAAACTGTTCCAGTATTTGAGTTTGTTGTCTGCAGTCTAGATTTCATTATAGGATTAAGGACTTTTATATCGTTAGTTTTACATCATTATTATATGGATCTTACTTCTCTTAATTACTTTTAATTTAGTCATTTTTAGTTTATTCTGATCATTATAATATGCCTACATTTCTTTCTTTAAAATTATTATTAATCTTTTTCCAATGACAATGATTTTTCCACAATTTAAAAATACAATGAGCTGCCCAGTTAACTTGAGGTAAAGTGGCCTATAAATTTTATAAATAAAAGTAAGTAAAAGTACAAGATGTGACATCTATTTTTTTTTCTGTTTCTCAAAGAGTACAAACTGTCTAATTTATACTGTGTCTACAAGTGTCCACCAGCCAAAAATGAATATTTGTTTATAGTCAAATGTTTAAAAAAATGTAAAAAGAAATGTGTTTTAACTTGAAGCAACTTGTTAAAGCAGCCATATGTTAATGCAGCTCATTAAAGCAGCTATTTTTCAAGATGGCTGCCCACATAGATGCTGCGGCTGGCCTCTCCTTCTTTCAATAGTTAACGTCATTGCTCAGAAGATCATTGGTTGCCCTCTCCCCTCTTTGGAAGAGCTTTATAGCTCCCGCTGCCTTAAGAAAGTTCAAAACATTCTCAAAGATTCATCTCATCCTGGGCACCCTTTTTTTGAACTATTACCATCTGGCAGATGGTACAGAATAAAAACAAGCAGAAATCTGGGTTTAGATTGATGCTGTCTGTATTATTCTGTGCTCTAAAATACGTGTTCCAAATAATGTTCAAAGCATGTTCAAACAGAGCCCTGTTTATTGTAGTAAATTATTCTCTCTCCCTAAACCCAGAAACAGATATACTGTATCTTAGGGGTGTCAAACTCCATTTCATTGAGGGCCGCATCAGGATTATATTTGACCTCGGGTGGCCAGGGTGGGCATGGCCAAGGTGGCCCCGTTTTCAGTTGCGATGGCCTCCTGCAGCCCTCCTGCAAGCTCCATTTTCATTGGCAGAGGCACTGTGAGCCGGTTCTTGGCTATTTCCAGGGTGGCCCCGCAGACCAGATCTAAGCACCCCATCCGGCTGCAGGTCTTGAGTTTGACACCCCTGCTGTATCTTATACAAAGTCAAATTTTAATTAAACTTATTTGTTTGCCTATATAGAAGAGCCTGCATTGCTACTGCAATAATGTTACAAGAGTAAAATAAAGTTTTCCATAAGCACATCTAGACTATACAGTGTAATATATTTATTTTTGTACTCTTTGCTCTTTTTTCAGCAACACTACCAAATGTCAGCACCTCTAAGTGGAAAAGTGATGAAAGCAATGCACTGGGAAAACATTCCCAAGATTTTGCTTTGTAAAAAATATATTTAGATGGCTTCTAAAAGCAATTACTCTATTTTATTTTTATTCTAAAAAGAAGCAGAGAAGATCATTGTTTAAGGAATCTATATTTCAAGTATCCACAAAGAAAAGCAAGAGCAGCTGACAGTTGCATATAGTTTTACAGTCTAAGTAAAGCCAACCTGAGTTTTTTTTTTAAATAGATTAAGTGTTTTACACGCTATTGCTTGCCTACGCTGGCCAGCTGAAGGCTTTAAATAATTTAATCCCTAGAGCAACTGCCAGCCCCAACTGGAATATTGAAAGAAGGACTGAATTCAGTTAGGATCCAAACAGGTGCTGCCTCACAATGGTTCCTTAATCTAGACACTGATAGGATTCTTATGATAGCCTTTTCCAGCTCAGTGCCTTCCTGTAACTCTGATAATTCCCATCCAGAGTCCATGAAATGAATGAGAAGGAAAATACAACTGATGCATTTTCAAATCAGCAAGGAACAAATCCAAATACCAGATTAGAATAGAATAATAAGAGTTGGAAGGGACCTTGTAGGTCATCTAAGCAGAAGACCCTATACCAGGGATGGGCAAACTTTTTGGCTCGGGGGCCGCATTGACTTTTAAAATTTGACAGACGGGCTGGGTCAGCACAAGATTTTTTGGGAATCGCCCCCCACCCTTCCCCCCCCTCTTCTCCTCCTTCCCCTCCCCTCGGAGGCCCCCTGAGTCAGGAGTTGCTACCACCGGCGCGGCTCCGCGCGGCTCCAGTCCCGCGTTGCCTCGGGAAGGGAAAGGCAAAAAGGAAGAGCCGCGGCGGTGCTTTGCAACGGGAGCAGCAGCACCGGAGGCTCAGGCTCAGCGGCTCCTGGTTTTGCCTTTTCCTTCCCAAGGCAACGCGGGACTGGAGCCGCACGGAGCTGCGCCGGCGGTAGCAACTCCTGACAGCCCCAGCTGGACACCTGAGCAGAGCCCGGGCGAAACTGCCTGTTGCTGCTGCCGGAGCACTGCCGGGTCGCCTCCTCCAAGCAGCCTGCCCACCCACCGGGCTTCCCCTCTGCCACGCGGCTCGGGGCCAGGCACGAGCGCCCGCAAGTTAAAAGGAAGCCGAAAGTTGCTGGGAAGTTGCTCGGGTGCTGGGAGCAGGCTTTTAAAGTGCCGCCCGAGCAAAGTTTAAGCAGCCCGCCCACCTGCCGGGCAGAACCCTTCCTGCTCCTCGGCGGGAAGACGCTCCAGCCTGCAAACTTTGCCTTTGCAAAGTTTAAGCCTGGAAGCCCCGGAAACCCAAGCAACTTCCCAGCAACTTTCGGCTTCCTTTTAACTCGCAGGCGCTCGTGCCTGGTGGAGGGGAAGCCCGGAGCCTCCTCCAAGCAGTCCGCCCGCCCGCCCGCCGGGCTTCCCCTCTGCCACGCGGCTCGGGGCCAGGAGCAAGCGCCCGCGAGTTAAAAGGAAGCTGAAAGTTGCTGGGAAGTTGCTCGGGTGCTGGGAGCAGGCTTTTAAAGTGCCGCCCGAGCA